GTGTTGGGAGCCAAAAGGCCAGAAGAAAAACATCTTTATGGTCTTGAGAAAAGACAGCCTTATGGTTTCCTGCAAATCTCTATGGCCTTGAGAAAAGACAGCTTTATGGTTTTCTGTAAGTTTCTATAAGATAGCACTTAGTTAAAGAATGTAGAAAAACAACTTTGTGACCCAGGCTAAGTCAGCCTTGAGAAATGTTTTATGCTCACCATAGCAGTTAGCAGATGTTCCTTTAGGATAAGAAATAAACCTCCCTAGCTATAGCATCCAATTAGCGTCTGCCCAGCACTTTCCTTCTCCTCACCTTCCCCCTCTCAACTACCAGTATATATGCCTGCTGCTTTCAATAAAAGTTTGAGGCTTGATCAGATCCTTGTCTTGCCTCCATTTCCTCACATTCCTTCTTTGTTTCATTCCTTCAGGTTATTCTCCCGACCCCCCAACGTTAAAGCCCCGTGGGCTGGGGCACTCTTCCAGCTATGAGGTTCTGCTGTCTTGGCTCCAATCCTTCTCATCTCTATGCACCTACCATCCTGCATTGCTCCTGCCATCTTTACTCCTAGCCGTGTTGGCCCCAGCTGCTGCTTCCACTGTCCTCTCAATACCATGGTGCAGCTGCTACTGCTGCTGCAAACTCTCTTCATACAAGCTCAGCCTGTTCTGCTTAAGAAAAAAAGGCAGGAAAGATGATTCTGGAGGACACTCTTTTTGAACCCAATGGGGTGGGGACTGTGGGGGTCAGTACAGGAGAGTGCCTCCTAGCTGAACAGGCCAATTACATAGGGGAGATGGTGTGAGGGTGGCATGTGAATGGATTGTTTATGTTCAACATTCACGGTGTAGTTCTTGTTGAGTTATTGAGGATGTGCTCCTCCTCCCACTAAGGAATAGCTTCAGAGTAACCTGGGCTGCTGCCTTCTAATATCAGTGCAGGCTGTCTGAAGTGGACTGAGACAATGCCTTCAGGGGCAGTTATGACTTCAGTTGCCAAGGTCCTTGCAGGTAGAATATTCTCAGAGGGTAAGTGTCCAAAACAGCCAGGCTGTTAGGAACAAATCCAGCAGGATGCTAGAGATTGAGCTACTAGGTCAACGTACCCAAACCCTAGGATGCCAGGCCTCAAAGAAAGGTCTACCTGCCATTCAAAGGCCTAAATAGTCTGCTCCTAGCAATTTCACTCATTCACAGAAATAAGCAAATAAATAAAAACTAAGGTACTTATAATAATAAGACATGGAAGCTCTATACAAAACGTTCTTAACATTACTTGACAGCCTTTAACAGGTAACTGCCCAGTGCTGACTGGGAGAGATGGTTCTGCTGATCTGCACTTCTACCATGCCCCCAAGCTGATAAACCCACGTTCCCTGGGTTTCTGACCATAAAAGTGGGCAAAATGATGCACTCACTGAGGGGAGTGTATTTATCTCCTCAGCCACACTGCGTGGCCTATTAAGACACGTAGCTGGCTATTGGTTTAAAGATTTTAATTTTTAATTTTGAGAATTGTGTTAAGACACATGCTTAATTTTTTATTCATTTTCAAATACTTTAAGTAAACAGTTAAAAAGAACCAACAATATTATTGTGTTAAACCTTAACTTTCAGATGCTTTTACATCAATTCTTAGAAAAACAAGTGAAGCCCTCCCATAAACCCTCTAGATTTCATCAGGAACTTCATTCTGAAGGTGGTGCAGTGGTGAGCACACATCACCCCATTTCATAATTTTACGCTTTTATACCTTTTGAATCCTTAGAAAAATGCAAAACATTACCTCTAGCATGCTCACATAACAGACACTAATCTAAGCAGTAACATGCATTTCATTAACTGCTCCCCACCACTCTATGAGGCTGCTACCTCTATCGCACTTACACAAATACTGAAAACACAGATCAGTGAAAGGAATATACCCCACAATATGATTAAACGTCACATAAATGATAGATACAACTTCTGTAACTCAGCAGAGTTTTCTCTGTGAAGTATGTAACTCATATTAACCTTTTTTCTGAGACATGGTCTTGCTCTGTAACCCCAACTATGAACTCATGGTCCCCTTGTTCCAGCATCCCACATACTAGGATTACAGGTGTGTGCTTCATTTTCCTCCTTAAGTACCAAGCAAAGCTTGCACCATCTCTTCCACTAATAGCAGACAGGATTTTTCCACTGCCACTACCTAAACAATGCTGCAAAAACAGGTCTCACCTTTCTTCACGCTGATCCAGGAAGGGAACCACTGGTTGGTACTCAAAATTTTATAACTTTTTGAATTGCTTGGCACAGTAAGCAGCTATCTCAATTTTCACTTACAAAGGACTGTAGGTTCCACTTCCACATATTTACACAGCTGGGCTTTCAAAAATGTGTGAGATTGTGCATATTTTGGTCTTTCTGGTTTCTTCTCTGCACACACTGCACTATGGTCTGAGTCTTCAGTTACAATGGAACTGACCACAATGGCCAGGTGAATGAGTGGCTATCTCACTCCCATTTCTTCCTGTGTTGGTCTCTGCCCATCTGTCTATCCCTATCCCCAACTTCAGTTCCTCCCCGAGACAGTAGTGAGATAGGATGGACTAAAAGAAGCCTGTGTGCTTTCCAGGCCAAGATCATGGACAAGATTACACAGCGTGGACAAAAAATTCAGAAGCTACCGACCAGAATCCCATCAACTCAGAAACAAAATACAACTAGGTTCCAACCCAGAAGCTGTGTTCTTCAGTATGGCTTCATGCTAATTCTTCACTGGAGGCTTGCTTAAAAAAAAAATTCCCGAGGCTGGCTGTGTTGGTGTATGCCTCTAGTTCCAGTGCTTTGAAGGCAGAAGTAGAATTACTGTGAATTCGAGGCCAGCCTGGTTGACTTACAACCTCTAGGCCAGCCAGGGCTACCTAGTGAGAGCCTATCTAAAACTTAAATAAAAACAGATACAAATAGAAAAAATTTGAACTTCCAACTTTTCTGATCAAGAGCATCTTAGAAAACTCTAGCCTTGACTTAGATTCTTCACAGAGGCAATTTTTTGCAAAATCTCTGCAATCATGAGCACCCAGGCCCGCCCTTCCTGAGTGCTTGTTCAGGCTGAGTTGGCTGCCAGATGACACTAAGACATGGGCCTCAAGAGAGATCAGGCCAAGGGAGCAGACTTAAGGACAAGGTCCCAGGCAAGGCAAACTATGAACAGAGTGGTATTCTCTTCAGAGACGCAGCACCAACAGATGTGTTAACACCACCTCTACGAAGACTACGGTTGAAGGACTCTCCTGAAGTCCACTCTCTGCAGCTGACTCTCTCCATTCCACCCAGGGGACTCTGCTGTCCCCAGAGGCCACCAGACAAGATTCCACCTCATCTGCCTGATGCTCACTCCCCAACTTCTTTCAGTGCCTTACTGAACTAGTTTTCACCTTCTCTTTTCAGCTCCTTCCTGATCATCCTGTTTAAATTCACAACCCACACACCAATTCAGCATTCCTTCCCATTCTTCTCTTACTTTGCTCTCAACAGGTATCATCATCAAGAATATAACCCATCTTACTTACTGTCTGAAGGGACCCAAGACAGCACATCAGTTGCCTCTTCAGGTCACTGCTGTGTCTTTGGCACACATACAGGTACCTGGCATATGGGAGGTGCTCATACCTCAGATGAACTGAGGATTAAGGCCATCTTGATCAAACAATGGAGCCCAGCACTCTGCCCTTCTTACTCCCTACAGAGAGTAATAATACTAACTAAAACCCAACTGTAAAACTGAAGCCCCAGCAGAGCTCCCCAGGACGTGTCTGGGAAGATTAGTAGTAGTTTCATTTTTTTTCTTTAAAGGTTTCTGTGTGATTCCCTGCACAGATGTGCACCAAGTGCATGCAATGCCCACGGAAGCAAGAAGGTGGCACTGGATCCAATGGAGCTGTAGTTATCGATGGTTACGGAGCTGCTATGGGGGTGCTGGAAACCAAACCCATGTCCTGTGTAACAGCCGCAAATTTTCTTGAGCACGAGGCCATCTCTCCAGTCCAAGACTAGAGTTCTTGATGCTGTTCCTTTAAAGTCAAAGAACATACAAGCCAAACCTAAACAGGAACTGGAATCAGACTACGAAGTATCTAATCACAAACTACAATAGAGTTGTCAGAGAAGATCTGGCTGGCTGGAAGTCGTGAACTACAGCTAGGGGCCTCGTGCTGCTTTTCCCCAACATCACTTCTCAGAAGGTACACTGATGAGTCACTGAGCGTCTAAATCCTCGGGATTCCAAGCCAAGTGCTTCCAAACCAGAAAGGACTGGGAATTTGAAGGTATTCCGCTTAGTGCCTACCATCCACTATCCTGAGGCCCCAGGCTAATCTCTAATATGGTTTTTCATATGACGAGCCAAATTGGAAGACCACCTGAAAGTCTTCCCACACACTTTACATTTGAAGGGCCTCTCTCGAGTGTGAAATCTCTTGTGGCTACTGAGCTGTGAATGTTTGCTAAAACTTTTCCCACAAATGCTACATCTGTGATGGTTTTTCTCAGTGGGTACTTTCTGGAGTCCAGTGGACATGGAGCTCCGGTCAGAAAGGTTGTCATACTCTTCAAGCGTCTTCTCTCTACTTGGTTTTAATTTCAGAACATTTAACCTTCTGTCTTGAAAAGAAGATAAGCCAGGCAGGCTGCGTTCAGAGTGTACTGCTTTGCTCTGTTTTCTCTGGGGAACAGAAGGAATATGTTTCCCTTTGAGATCTTTACCACACCACTGAGATTTAAAAGGTCTCTCTGCAGCATGGATTCTCTGATGATTAACCAGTCGATGATTTCTATCATAGGATTTCCCACACACGTTGCACTTAAAGCGTTTCTCTCCACTGTGTATTCCCATGTGATCTGAAAGACTTCTTTTACGTGTAAAGGTTTTCCCACATTCTGCACACCAAAAGCGCTTCGGACCAGTGAGGACACTGGACTCTAGGTTTGGAGTTGCTTCACTTTCATACTTGTACCCTTGGTACAAACAGTGTTGCCTCTCATGTCGGGAGCGATTAGAACTCCATCGGAAGGCTTTTCCACACTCCCTGCACTTATAGGGCTTTTCTCTGGTGTGAACTCTCTGATGAATGAGAAGGAAAGAGAGATTGTCGAAATGTATCCTGATTAAAAGATGGTCCACTTTCAGGTTTTCTTCTAAAGGCATGATGCTTCTTATGAACAATAAAGGCTGACCTATAGGTAAATCTTTTCCCACACTCACTACATTGGTATGGTTTCTCACCTGTGTGAACCCTATGGTGTTCAATGAGTGATTTCTTTTGAGCAAATGTTTTCCCACAAAGCTGACACAGAAAAGCTTTCTCTACTTTGGGCATACCCCGGGGCTGACTGAAGTTCTGCTGGAACTTTTCTTGACATTTATCTTGTTGACAGAACTCCTGCTCCTGGTGCAGTCTCACATGACGTGAAAAGTGTGACCTCCACCGAAAGGTTTTCCTACATCTGGTACATTTATAAGGTTTCTCCTGTGTATGAATTCTTTGATGTTCAAGAGCATAGGACTTACAGCGAAAGGATTTGCTGCACTGGCTGCAGTTAAAGAATTTCTCCCCATTCTGGTCTGTCAAATGATTGAGCTCCAAGCTGTAGGTGAGAGCTTTTTTGTACCGGTCAGAGTCAAATTCCACTTTAGTATGGGTTTTCTGGTGAAGACGGTAGGCTGACTGACGCTGGAAAGCTTTCTCACATAAACTGCATTTATAAGGTTTCACGCCAGTGTGGATTTTCTCATGTCGCGAACAGTTTGAGTACCACCTGAAGGCCTTCTCACACACCCTACATTTAAATGGTTTCTCTTGACTATGAAGTCTCTGATGTTGCGCAAGATGGGAACTTTTACCGAAGTTCTTCCCACAGTCATGGCATCTGTACTTCTGAACAACAGGAACACTCTGCTCCTGCTGGTGATCAGAGCTAAGCATGAAATCCTTTCCACGTGTGCCCTTTTCATTCTCTTTCGGAGCAGCGTGAATTTGTTGATGCACACCAAACCCCTCAATCGGGTGTCGGGGCCCCTTCCCGTATTTCTTGTGGTCATAATTGTACGAACTTTTTCTTAAGTATCCACTGTAGCCATGTTTAAAGGATCGCTTTTTCCGGGAAACTCTAACACACTTAACATGTTTTAGGTCAGGAATATCATTTGTTTCCAATACTTGAGATTCTCTTCCTGTCCTGTGATTGATGTCTGTTTCTTCCTTAATTTCTCTCATTCTCATGGGGCTTCCACAGAGTTGCTGTAGTGTGTTCTTCTCTTTCAAAGATTCTCTGAGCCCTGCTACCCCAGAAACACGTGTCACAGGACAGACTGATAGCTCAGGAAAGGTTTCTGTGTATTCTGAAGCATCCTGTTTCGAGTTCAACTTCCTTGTCATAATCTGGAGCTCACCTCCTGACAGAAATCAAATACAAGAAAATGGAGTTTCCCCTCAAACTTAGAACAACAAACAGGAAAAAGGAACAATTAAATACCATAACCCCTGACTGCCAAGACTTTCTACAAAACAGTCAAGGATAAAACAATGAAAGAGAATCCCAAATAACAAGGAAGCTATGAGAAAAGATGGGCACGGCAACTAGAGACACAGAAATGTGGGGGACGGGGGCAATGAGGACTGAAGAAGAGGACTAATAGCAAGGCAGTAGAGAAGCATCATGACACAGGACCACACCACAAAGGTCCCCAAAAGCCAAGAGCTGGGGGTCCAAGGAGGGCCTGCCTGAAAGAACTGGTTATCAAGCCTACCAGAGCAGGAAGTATCAAGCAGTGAAGAGGAACAGGAGTGGGATGGGTGTTCTCAAGAACAGGCTGTGGCAGGCACAGGGAACATGGGGGAATTGCAGCACAGTGCTGAGAAGGATCATCAGTGAGTGGAAAGTAAATGGGGAAACACTGTGAGAACAAGAACAGTTACTAAGATGGCTGCTAGGGCTGAAAGAAATGGATTATCAAAGGCCAACATGAGGGAAGAGGCCCAGGAGCCTAGCACTCCTTTGTAACTCCTAGCAAACAATGGGATAAGTCCCTAATGAGGTCTGTCTGTAACCATATCAAAGAGTAGATGCAAGGGGGGCAGAACTTGGTGGGTTTTCTGGAACTTACCTTCAGGGGCAGTAGCTGAATCCTTCACAGGCTGACCTGTGCAGACATCCAGGCTCCATGCTTCCCTTGCTTCCAACCAGGAGATCAGAGCAGGTTTTGAAGGTGGCCCCACTGCAGAAAAAGGAATGAGGTGGGAAGGAAAATGGGTCACACAGAACTATTCTCTAGGGCCTACCCACAACCTAAAATCCTGGTAAAGAACAAAGGCCAGGAAGACAATTGAGGAAACCAGACAGGAGGCTGAGCCAGAGGTAAAAGCCACACAACTACTCAACTCGTTAAAT